TTCAGGAAGGCATTAATAAGGGGCTTCTTTTTGTTGTTGCTCCAAGGAATATAGCCTTTGCTTCCTTTCCTTAGATCAAACCTGCATGCCTCCCATTTTCCCAGGCAGTACCAGTTAGTCATGGTATTATGCCTTTTTATTCATTGTGTAATGATCCCTACAGGGTTAGCGCTCCCCCATGAATGTAATAAAAATGTGAACTTGTGTACCCCGTCCTGCCTGGGTACAGTTCAGTTGTTTTCTCCCAGTGCCTCCCCTGGTGACCCTGCCAGAACCTGACTGCCTCATAGATGATGACTGCAGCAAGGATTTATCCTGTGCCGATCAACGCTGTGTCAATCCTTGTATAAGAGAAAATCCATGTGCTAAGAATGCTTTCTGTTACACACGCGACCACCGTCCTGTCTGCAGATGTCCCGAAGGATTCATTGGTGACCCTCAGATTGAGTGTCAGCCTTGTGAGTCTTTACAGTACTGTTATTTTAATTTATTGGTGGCTTCCTTGGCTTGTTGGCATGTTGCTGGAACTCTTCAAAAATCTTTAACCTTGAGATATTGTTGTAAATGAGTTAATTTGACAATTTTTTTTGAGTTGTATTTTAAGAGTCACAATAACTGTTTACCTTTTCTTTGTATAAGGCTTCAGTCACCTTGAATATTATATATTCATGGGGAAGTGGTAAGCCCATAAGGTTATAGAGCACTACCATTATCTTAATTAGAAACAGCCAGCCAGGGAGGCACAGCAAGCATGAGTGCCCTGGAGGGTGAGGCATGGAGTATAACACCCAGCTGCCCTCTACAACACACTGCCCTCTACAACACACTGTCCCCTACTACACTGCCCTCTACAACACACTGTCCTCTACTACACTGCCCTCTACAACACACTGTCCTCTACTACACTGCCCTCTACAACACACTGTCCACTACTACACTGCCCTCTACAACACACTGCCCTCTACAACACATTGCCCTCTACAACACACTGCCCTCTACAACACACTGTCCTCTACTACACTGCCCTCTACAACACACTGTCCACTACTACACTGCCCTCTACAACACATTGCCCTCTACAACACACTGCCCTCTACAACACACTGTCCACTACTACACTGCCCTCTACAACACACTGTCCTCTACAACACACTGCCCTCTACAACACACTGTCCTCTACAACACACTGCCCTCTACAACACATTGCCCTCTACAACACACTGCCCTCTACAACACACTGTCCTCTACTACACTGCCCTCTACAACACATTGCCCTCTACAACACACTGCCCTCTACAACACACTGTCCTCTACAACACACTGCCCTCTACAACACATTGCCCTCTACAACACACTGTCCTCTACAACACACTGTCCTCTACTACACTGCCCTCTACAACACACTGTCCCACTACTACACTGCCCTCTACAACACACTGCCCCTCTACAACACATTGCCCTCTACAACACACTGTCCTCTACAACACACTGTCCTCTACTACACTGCCCTCTACAACACACTGTCCACTACTACACTGCCCTCTACAACACACTGCCCTCTACAACACATTGCCCTCTACAACACACTGTCCTCTACTACACTGCCCTCTACAACACACTGTCCACTACTACACTGCCCTCTACAACACACTGCCCTCTACAACACACTGTCCACTACTACACTGCCCTCTACAACACACTGCCCTCTACAACACACTGTCCACTACTACACTGCCCTCTACAACACACTGTCCTCTACAACACACTGCCCTCTACAACACACTGTCCTCTACAACACACTGCCCTCTACAACACATTGCCCTCTACAACACACTGCCCTCTACAACACACTGTCCTCTACTACACTGCCCTCTACAACACACTGTCCACTACTACACTGCCCTCTACAACACACTGTCCTCTACAACACACTGCCCTCTACAACACATTGCCCTCTACAACACACTGCCCTCTACAACACACTGTCCCTCTACTACAACTGCCCTCTACAACACACTGTCCACTACTACACTGCCCTCTACAACACATTGCCCTCTACAACACACTGCCTCTACAACACACTGTCCTCTACACACTGCCCTCTACAACACACTGTCCACTACTACACTGCCCTCTACACACATTGCCCTCTACAACACACTGCCCTCTACAACACACTGTCCCACTACTACACTGCCCTCTACAACACACTAGTCCTCTACAACACACTGCCCTCTACAACACACTGCCCTCACAACACACTGTCCACTACTACACACTGCCCTCTACAACACACTTGTCCCTACTACACCACTGCCCTCTACAACACACTGTCCACTACTACACTGCCCTCTACACACATTGCCCTCTACAACACACTGCCCTCTACAACACACGTCCACTACACACTGCCCTCTACAACACACTCCACTACTACAACTGCCCTCTACAACACACTGCCCTCTACAACACATTCCCTCTACAACACACTGCCCTCTACAACACACACTGCCCTCTACAACACACTGCCCTCTACAACACACTGTCCACTACTACACTGCCCACTACAACACACTGCCCTCTACAACACATTGCCCTCTACAACACACTGCCCTCTACAACACACTGTCCACTACTACACTGCCCTTTACAACACACTGCCCTCTACAACACACTGTCCACTACTACACTGCCCTCTACAACACATTGCCCTCTACAACACACTGTACACTACTACACTGCCCTCTACAACACACTGTCCTCTACTACACTGCCCTCTACAACACACTGTCCTCTACTACACTGCCCTCTACAACACACTGTCCACTACTACACTGCCCTCTACAACACACTGCCCTCTACAACACATTGCCCTCTACAACACACTGCCCTCTACAACACACTGTCCTCTACTACACTGCCCTCTACAACACACTGTCCACTACTACACTGCCCTCTACAACACACTGTCATCTACAACACACTGCCCTCTACAACACACTGTCCTCTACTACACTGCCCTCTACAACACACTGCCCTCTACAACACATTGCCCTCTACAACACACTGCCCTCTACAACACACTGTCCTCTACTACACTGCCCTCTACAACACACTGTCCACTACTACACTGCCCTCTACAACACACTGCCCTCTACAACACATTGCCCTCTACAACACACTGCCCTCTACAACACACTGTCTCCTACTACAATGCCTTCATACAACACACTGTCCACTACTACACTGCCCTCTACAACACATTGCCCTCTACAACACACTGCCCTCTACAACACACTGTCCACTACTACACTGCCCTCTACAACACATTGCCCTCTACAACACATTGCCCTCTACAACACATTGCCCTCTACTATACACTGCCCTCTACAACACACTGCCCTGTACTATACACTGCCCTCTACAACACACTGCCCTCTACAACACACTGCCCTCTAACAACACACTGCCCCTCTACAACACATTGCCCTCTACTACACTGCCCTCTACTATACACTGCCCTCTACAACACACTGCCCTGTACTATACACTGCCCTCTACAACACACTGCCCTCTACAACACACTGCCCTCTACAACACACTGCCCTCTACAACACATTGCCCTCTACAACACACTGCCCTCTACTATACACTGCCCTCTACAACACACTGCCCTCTACAACACACTGCCCTCTACAACACATTGCCCTCTAATATACACTGCCCTCTACAACACAGATGCCCTCTACAACACACTGCCCTCTACAACACATTGCCCTCTACAACACACCTGCCCCTAACAAACACATTGCCCTCTAATATACACATGCCCTCTACTATACACTGCCCTTACAACACTGCTCTCTACCAACACACTGCCCTCTACAACACACTGCCCTCTACAACACACTGCCCTCTACTATTGGCTAGTGTTGTTATTACTATATTGGCTAGTGTTATCTTTACTGTATTGGCTAGTGTTATCTTTACTGTATTGGCTAGTGTTGTTATTACTGTATTGGCTAGTGTTGTTATTACTGTATTGGCTAGTGTTATCATTACTGTATTGGCTAAGTTAATTACTGTATTGCTAGTGTTGTTATAACTGTATGGCTAGTGTTGTTATTAATGTATTGGCTAGTGTTATCATTACTGTATTGGCTAGTGTTATCATTACTGTATTGGCTAGTGTTGTTATTACTGTATTGGCTAGTGTTGTTATTACTGTATTGGCTAGTGTTGTTATTACTGTATTGGCTAGTGTTGTTATTACTGTATTGGCTAGTGTTGTTATTACTGTATTGGCTATGTTGTTTATTACTGTATTGGCTAGTGTTATCATTACTGTATTGGCTAATGTTATCATTACTGTATTGGCTAGTGTTATCATTACTGTAATGGCTAGTGTTGTTATTACTGTACTGGCTAGTGTTGTTATTACTGTATTGGCTAGTGTTATCATTACTGTATTGGCTAGTGTTGTTATTACTGTATTGGCTATCATTGTTATTACTGTATTGGCTAGTGTTATCATTACTGTATTGGCTAGTGTTATCATTACTGTATTGGCTAGTGTTATCATTACTGTATTGGCTAGTGTTATCATTATTGTATTGGCTAGTGTTGTCATTACTGTATTGGCTAGTGTTGTTATTACTGTATTGGCTAGTGTTATTACTGTATTGGCTAGTGTTATCATTACTGTATTGGCTAGTGTTATCGTTACTGTATTGGCTAGTGTTGTTATTACTGTATTGGCTAGTGTTATCATTACTGTATTGGCTAGTGTTATCATTACTGTATTGGCTAGTGTTATCATTACTGTATTGGCTAGTGTTTTTTATTCTTATGCTAGTGTTAATCATTACATGTATTGGCTAGTGTTATCATTACTGTATTGGCTAGTGTTATCATTACTGTATTGGCTAGTGTTATCATTACTGTATTGGCTAGTGTTATCATTACTGTATTGGCTAGTGTTGTTATTACTGTATTGGCTAGTGTTATCATTACTGTATTGGCTAGTGTTATCATTACTGTATTGGCTAGTGTTATCATTACTGTATTGGCTAATGTTGTTATTACTGTATTGGCTAGTGTTATCATTACTGTATTGGCTAGTGTTGTTATTACTGTATTGGCTAGTGTTGTTATTACTGTATTGGCTAGTGTTATCATTACTGTATTGGCTAGTGTTGTTATTACTGTATTGGCTAGTGTTATCATTACTGTATTGGCTAGTGTTGTTATTACTGTATTGGCTAGTGTTATCATTACTGTATTGGCTAGTGTTGTTATTACTGTATTGGCTAGCATTATCATTACTGTTTTGGTTAGTGTTATCATTACTGTATTGGCTAGTGTTGTTATTACTGTATTGGCTAGTGTTATCATTACTGTATTGGCTAGTGTTGTTATTACTGTATTGGCTAGTGTTATCATTACTGTATTGGCTAGT